TAACTGAAAACTTGCCCCAGATCCATAGCTTGGGCGGGGAGAGGCACTTCCTGAGTCAGAGCAAGCACAAGAGCTGGAAACTTACACTGAAGCTCCCCCAGCCCAAAGGTGACTAAAAAACAGGGTGGCTTAAAAAGGGAGCCGAGTGCGTCATTAAGGAGAGCAAAGAGAACCAAAAGCTGCAAGGAACAGATAGGAGAAGCAAAGCTGTGAGCCCCAGATCCATAGCTTGGGCGGGGAGAGGCACTTCCTGAGTCAGAGCAAGCACAAGAGCTGGAAACTTACACTGAAGCTCCCCCAGCCCAAAGGTGACTAAAAAACAGGGTGGCTTAAAAAGGGAGCCGAGTGCGTCATTAAGGAGAGCAAAGAGAACCAAAAGCTGCAAGGAACAGATAGGAGAAGCAAAGCTGTGAGCAACTGAAAAGGAATTCAGGAATAAGAAGTTCCCTTTAAGGCTTTCCCCTCGCTGTTTTTTCATAAGCAGGCTGGCTTACACCCACAGGCAGGAAATGCAATGCTTCTTCCAACACCACCACAGCCCTGCATCCACAGACACCCAGCTCTCTCTGAAACTGAAAGCTATAGTCTGCTGGACTGCTGACCAGCTGGGCACAGCACGAGAAGGCATTTCCTTTCATCCTCAAGGAATTTGCTGCTCCCAGATGTCATTGCGCTCCCCCTCCTCTTCCCACGACTCCTGACCTCCCCTTTGCTGCGTTTCCCCTGTGGCACAGCCGCTTTCAGGGGTTGCATGGACCCAGGAGAGCTCCTGAGACACAGTCCCAGAGCTCCAACCCCCTCATCTGTGATGGGGACAGGCCACATCTGCATGGGTGTGAGTCACATCATGAGCTCATGAGCCATAGGCTTAATTTTAAGCCTAGTGGAAACAGGAAAATGCTAGAGCTGCGAAGACTTAGAGAGATAACGGAGCACCAGCATGGGTCTGTCAGAGAGCTACCAGGGACAGACAGGCTCAACAGAGACTACATAACCCCAAGAAATGAAAAAGTAACTTAAATGGTTTATTAACTTGTGCTATGACTCTTGCAACTGTTAAAACTCACCCAGTCCTAGCTATTGATGATAGATGCAAGTAGGACAGAGGAGCAGAGACAGAAAGGACATCAGGCCTAAATTGCTTGACAAGTATTTCACTTCCAAATGCAGTTTCTTATCTTCCAAACCCCCAGATTTCTTCTGAGGTATCAAAGAGGGAAGCCTGAGCAGCTCAGACCCTCACCTCAACCGGCAGGAGGACTTGCACCTTGCTCCCCCCACCTCACCACTCCTCTGGGTAAGCCCAGACAGGATAGAAAAGGGATACCAGTGAA